CTATTCGTACAAGACGTTGTTTAAGTTAACGATTTCTTGCGAGGAAATGTGAATTTTTGTATAACTTATGCAATATTTAAATCTTAATTCATTATGAGAGTAAAGGAAAATGCAGAATACTGATGTCCATTGAAACCATGTTGGAAACATTTGAAAATCGAAACGTCTCAAGCCACCTCATATTCCTTACGGAATTCGTAATCCACATTCGCAATCATTTTATAATTTGATATTAAATTCTATAAGTCCAAATAGTTTCTTACAACATTTGCCTAGTTTTGTATACTTTTATATACTTGCCAAATCACTGTAGGAGTAAAGTTTGATCGAACACTTATGGTGAACCGATGGAAGATATGACAAATGTCTCCCGTTTCAGTAGTACAATTAAATAATAAAGATCTCTGACCGTCTAAGTATTCCTGGGTCACATCTTCACAAAGTTTAAAGAGCTTAGTTTTCTCTGACTTTTGAGTTCATGCCACATACCATGGGACAAACCTCTCAATTTCGATTTACCTCCAAGATGTGGATGTTAAGCATATAGGTGCTCGTGAGTATCTAAAGAAGTTGCACACAGCAAATCTCGGCTCTGCTAATCACTTGTGGATATATACATATCACACCGGATGCAAGTAGTGACCTAGTTTAATGATAATTTCAGTCAAATGGACGCAATGGTGAGTCAATGGGGGTTACGCACAGGTGTCCCCATCTACAACTTCACTCCAACCGATATTTAGCATGTTGCTAAAAATTGGATAAGCGGCCTTTAAACCGTCTTTTAGTGTACCATAGAAGTCATTATTTGGGAATTTGCAGAATATGACTGATGACAATTTTACTAATAGATTTAAATGACGTGACTTCGTGGTTATATAGAAATATTAAAAAGACGAATTTCATTGCACGATAATTTCCTCCAAAACTTAGAATTTAAATAATAATAGCTATCAAGAAATGACTGCTTTTCGTATTATGCTAAAATGCATTGAGCGAAGCGACTTCCAACAGTCTATATCTGGGCGCTTCAAATCGTTCCATAGACATAGATGAGTGAATTAAAATGAACTAATTCCCGCTTCTGATACTCCATTTACGATAAAATAACAAACTGATTAGTATGATGACGAATAAATTTAAGTTATTGTACCCTCAAAGCTCCGAATCCTTTCATTGAAATGTTTAAATTGATTGTTAAGCGTAAATTACAACTTGGTTTAGCACAAATTACCGAATATGGTAGCGAAAACGTCCACGCGACTCTCTACAAGGTGGCTAAAAAAATAACTCCGTCTAAAGTGCTCAAGACATTCTATTGTTCAACAGAACTCAAAGCTATAGGTACAAAACGAAATTCGGAGATAAAACATTTGCCAACAAGATTACTAATAGCCATTGCAGAAGTGCATGTTCACATCATTGAAAAGAACGAAAAACGCCTCTAAAGCGGTTCTTGTCGGACTTAGAAATCACATGTGATTACTCAAAACTGAATATAAGGTTATATGCACACTTAATGGGTTTCTTTTTTTCATAATATGACCTAAAAGTTACGTAATTTTATTTAAAAAAATGGGCTAACACTTCTTAACCACAAAGCATACTTTAATTCACCTGTCAAAAGAGGGTGAGTTCTTCAATCATCTACAAAGATATCGAATATTGGCAATGGGTCAATCAGTTGGCAAGAATGGAAGCAGATGTAAAACGACGTAAGGAGACGTACGCTGCTATTTATTTATAGCATGGAGAGGTGGGGGGCGGGGCGGTTTTATTGGAATTTGCAAATTTGACAGAAAATATTTCTGCTATTTGCAGACACGTTGCAATTTAAACGTGGGAAGTGGGTTAATTAGTGAGAAATGCGAAAAAAGCATAAAGTAGAGACAGATTTTTCCATGGAGATGTACGTTTATAAGGAAATTAATGATTAAAAGGAAAAATAATGAGGGAGGCATGATCCGTGCGAAAGTTTCAAACTCGGTGCCTCTAATCCAAGTTTCCAAGATACTAAGTACGCTTTTGAAATTCCATCTTAACAGTGAGACAACTGTCTTTATCAATAATTAGAGAAGGAAGTATTTGGAAGGCCCAATTTGTAACCTCTTACTCTAGTTGGGTATCAGTAGTTAGATGAATGACATTTAAATTCAGACTCTCAAGACAAAAAAGTGCAATTGTTTAAAACCTATAGTGTTTTTACAAAATTCGTTCCATGGATAAATAGAACTGCCATGTTCGAAAATGGGGTGTGTGATAGACTTACCTCCACGTGGTGCACCCTGGGCAACGTATACTCATACGGCAAAAAGTCTAGTAACTGGCAGTTGACTTCAATCTACCATGACCCCACTGTATGTCATATTCGACTACTCATCCACCTTTTCCACCTTATCTACCTTCGTCTTTGATACACTCTTCTGTCTCCCCCCCCCCCATCTCGAATTTTTTACACTTTGATGTTCCTTCCTCTCTGTGAAGGCTGAAGTCAACTAAAGGGCTAATGATAACAATCAAAACGCCTGCCATTTGATATAATAATAATAATAATGTTCAAAAATATTATAAGTACATTTTAATAATATTATCGGAGGGTAGTATTTTTCCGAATACTAAAAGAAACTATTGCAATTGCTTTGAATCATGAAAATCGTCTTATGAAATTGAACCATCCAACAAAATTGTGCGAATCCATTCCCAACCTCCCCTCCACACACAGATAATGAAACTTTGGGTTATAATGAGAGGGAGAGTTATTGAGTAGATTTCATTTTAAATCTTCGCACGAAGAGAATAAAAGTTTTTTTTCTATCAAGAGGAATACTTTTTCATTAATTTAATAAGTTTCTAGACTAGAATTTAATCAAATTGACAAAGCGAAAGCGCTGATTCTTCAACCTGGTTTGAGCAGTAATAGCTAAAGTCAAAGACCTAATAGAAAGAGCCTGCTTATGACCTCAAATGTAGGCATCTTGTCGTCCAATCAGTATAATGTATAGGGTTTTATGAACAAACGCATGATCCTTGTTGTTATCATTGGTGAATTTTGCACTAACGAAAACTCTACGGTAGTGATGATTATGCTTCTCTTAAAAGAATGAACTCGCAAGCAAGGGGCCCATGAAATAAGATCATTGCTCTTTGGGAATCGAGGTACTCAGGAATGTGTTCATTATTACAAAGTTTTAAAAAACCAAAAATCTTAGCAACATGCAAAGTTTGTCCAGATATTTCTTGCGAATCAACCAATTTCCTTCTCGCTTTCTCACGAACCAGTGCAAGCGAATGGTGGAATTAAAAAATTGTACACAAATGCACAAATCGACTTCAATAATTTTTACTGTTTATCAGAGCATATGTCACGTGGAGAATGAATAAACTTGGAGTGCGATAGCCCTTCCATCTACAGCTTCTTCAAATGAAATTGCGCAATTTCAGGCCCAGGGTTCAAATTCAACAATCTATACCAAAAAGCGATACTTTAATCATGCGAGCCACGATTCTTAAAGATGGAAATTACCCATGGGCTTAAAATCTCGAATGTTAGGTTTCTACTAAATTTATCACCTAGGAAAGAAGTGATGCAAAAAACTAATTTTATGGCGAACCAATTAATCAATTTCTAGAGAGAATTGCCGGAATATCTAAGGAATAATGAAAAACTAATTTCTAGTTGAATGGAAAATCGTGAAAGCCTAAATGATACGCAAGGTTCGGCATAATTTCATAAATAATAGTATGGGGGTTGGCAAAGTTATTGCCGAAAATTAACATAGGTACGATTCAACTGGACTGTAGTTTAGGGTCTGTGGAATGGAAAGAAGATGAATATGGTAATCTTACCATAGAGCAATCTTGCTTCTACAGATCAGTGAGAATTGGTCCAATTAGAACAGTCTCAAATTGAGAACGGCCAAAAAATCTAATCAAGGATCTAATTTTCAATGCCCGAATGCGATCAGAATAAGGCGTCATGAAACCGATCTTGTGGGACGCCCAAAGTCCATCACTCATCATATTGACCAGAAATCTTTACTACTGTTGGTTATTAAAATCGTTGAACATTGATATGGTGTTCCTTGACTTAAAGCAGTTTATATAGTTGAAAAATGCATTTGTTTTTCAATATTTAAATAAATCTGGGTTTTATTAAGTAGATATTGTAGTACAGTATTGTTATAGCCTGCATTTGTCTGGCCCAAATGGTTTATTAGATTCTGAAAATATTCGATTTCAATGACCAAGTATTTTAAGTTTTATGACCATGGTGATTTAGCAATTGAATTCTTTGCTGTGCCGATAGAATCAGGTCATAAAACTCCTGATAAACACGATTTGAATTTTTCGTTCTATTTAAAATCACGATCTCATAAATTAGAGTGATTGTTAATATGTTTGAATTTGTATCAAATATTTAAAACAATGTAAATAAACATCTAAAACATTTTTAAACTTCCTTGATTTTTACAATACCTTCTAGTGACTTAAATAGAAACGTTCTTGGGACTATAAAATGCCTATAGACAAAGAAAAGGAAATCCACGCAAAACAGCTGACTTTCTCAGAACGATATGACTGTCACCCTTTCACAAATATAAAAATTTAAGATACCATTTAATAAAAGATGCAACGGAATATTATAAAATCAGGAATGGTAAGAAGCCATGACAATTAATTTTATCCAGAGAAAGATATATATAAGCTAATGCTATGAAATATATAGACTAATAAATTTAATTCCAATTAAAACTTATTCCAATTGGCATAAGATTCAAACATTCATAAGGAATTTACATTTAAATGAAAGATATGAAATAGTTTAATTATATCAAAACTGACATGATTTCAAATTCGACAAAATACTGATTTTAGTAAAATTGCGAAATACAGATGATTATTTTGAAAAAGTAGGTTTGAACAAAATAGCACTTACCAACAAATTGAAGAACACATTAGTTCGATTTTTGAAGGTGCTATTTGGGAAGAAGAAGAATTGGCTAGGGTTGTACAATCCTAAAAGTACCATCATGAGCTCTCTTGTAGGAAGGCGTTCCAGCAACTCGAAAACTAGGGCTAGTGGGAACGGGTGGCAATCCTGGGTCCCCTTTCGATTTCACGGCATCTCCGTTCATTAGTAACCTATCTCCATTTGCTAATAAAGCGTCACCATTCACTAAAGATGATTTATTCCTAGGAAGAAGTGTAAGAAAGTCGGGTATTGATGCCCGATAGCCTGGAGGCATATCTGTGGAATAGAAACTTCCACGTAGATGTGGATACCCAAGGCCGGGAAAAGGGGGAGGACGAAATGAATATTGACTACGTGTTTCACAAAGAAGATTTGCACAGGAATTCTGAGAAGGTGTTCCATAGATCCATGTTCCTCCGTTACATAAAGAGGCTCTATGAATTTCATCGCACGATGAAGTTCCACAGATGATGTGCTTTAAAGAAGTGGCTGAGCATCGATGATTAAGGTTGGCGTTTTTACGCTCTTCATTGCGTTTCTTGGCTCTAATTTTGAATCTTAGTACTAGGGCAACTATCAAGCATATCAAGAGAATAGTAAGAACAGTACACCAAATTATCACCGAGAGTAATAAAGGTTTCATCTTTGTTGTACCACCTGAAACTTTCAATTTACCTTCATCAACCAACCAGCCAGTGGATGCACTTGCATTAAGGATAAAGTGATCCAGTGATCCATTCTTCGGACAGCCAAGAGCGTTGTCCAGAGTAGGACAATTATCCATATAGATCATATTGATTGTATCTAAAGTTTCACCGGCCTTGGAAGCTTCATGACGAGAGAATGTTACTATTGCAGACTCCTGAATTGGCTGTTCGCTAGCACATTTGTGACATCGGACTTCCATATTCATCTCAATAGGCATGCTTGGATCTAGTGGCTGTAGTCGAAGAAAGGCTGGAACATCCGCTTTTTCCCTGACAGAATCTGGTAGTTGAGGAACGCGATCACTATCAAATGTTATTGAAGTTATCTTCCTATGTCGTAGAAGAGTGTCTGGATGAAGGGTATTAACGTGAAGAACACTGAGGTCACCAAGAACCTCCTCAAGACCAGTGAAAGACATAGGAGTCAACTCAAGAATATTCATATCAAGAAAGATATTCAGAACTCCTCCTTTGCCATATGATCTAAGATCCTTCAAGCCTCCTGGAGAAATTCGACGAATACTGCTGCGATTGCCGATGACATACCGTTCATTAATTAAATCATTTTGACAGCTCACATTTTCTGAGAAGCTTTCGTTGGAAGACGTGGAACAAAGAAGCTCTTTGTCTGTGGAAAGGAAACAACTAAAGGGACAGTTTTCGGAATTTGGAGATTGTTGAGCAAGAGTTCTCAGCAACACAGCGCTCATAAGATAGAAAAGGCTCAAATTTGGCCCCATTCAGACGCGCCCTTAGTCTGTAGGGCGTGAAAGCCGCAAGGACTCTATCTAATAACAGTCAAAGTGTGGAATCGTTTCTACACAGACTCTTAATCAGCTGTGCGCCTGCCTATCAGCGCTCTGATTGGTAGTCTTACATTAAGTGCGTCCTGATTGGTTACTTAAGAAAGCCAATAAGGAGAAGGGGGGAACTTA